ATCTCATGTGTGAGTGCTGTCTGCATGTACACCTGCACACCACAGCAGAGAGCGTCAGATCCCATTACAGATGGTTGGGAGTCATCATGTGGCTGCTGGGAATTGAACTCAGGACCTCTAGAAGAGCAGTCAGTGCTCTTTACTGAGCCATATCTCCAGCCCCATTTTTCCTTTAAGATCAACTATGCACCAACTCATTATCTCTCTCTCTCTCTCTCTCTCCTTTGTCCTGGATCTCCAGACCCTAGGGCCACCACAGGAACCACAGGAATTGTTTTCTTTATGAGCCTGGAGACATAGCTTAGAATTTATGATCATTGGCTGCTCTTCCAGCTCTGCCGTCCTTCCTTTGTTCCTCAAGGGCTTTGGTCAAAGGTGGACTTCATAATGCAGACCCACACTAATTTTTTTGTAAAGAAAACACAGCCCTCTTGGAAGTCTGCTTTTGAGAGTTGGAGTGTGGCTGAATGGGAAACTGTAGGTTAAATTCTCTCTAGAGAATATTTATAATTTTGTAGCCCCTTGCCATGTGCAATGTTATATTTATAGTGTTATTTAAGAGTGTTTCGTAGTCTACTGAAGTAGGTCCACCTCAGGAGCTGAAGTCCTGGGATCTCAGGCATGGGCTATGCCCATCCAGATCAATTGGGTTTTAGCTTAGCCTGATAATGATCTGAGTTCAATTCCTGGTATTCACACACAGGCAACCAATTTCACATTGTCTTCTGATCTCTACACACGCACCCACATACACAAATATATATATACATATATATATATATATATATATGTAACATGTATTTACATCCTTAGCTGTGCATGGTATCACATGCATATAATCCCATCACTTGAGATGGTAGGGACAGGAGGACAAATTGAGTATGAGGCCAGGCCAAGTTTCCACACCCAACTTATAAATCTACATAGCAGTAGTAGACCCACTGTGACACAGACCTGTAAATCCCCACTGTAGAGAGGTGAGAAATGGTGAAATCAGGTGTTCAAGAGTAGTCTTGATTACAGTGAACGAGGGCAAGCCAACATGGGATGGATGAAACAGAATACCAATGAGTGCATATAAGGCCCTCCCTAGCACACTGGAGAAATAAAGTCAAATACCTGATGGAAAGTTGGAGATTTGAGTGAGAAGGGTCCACAGAACAAGGCTGGAGTCAGAAGAGAGCTTCATGTGGAAGCTGTGAGTACAGATGAAGGGAATCTTCACCCTCAGAGCTCGAGAGAGAAGTCATAACTTCAGGCTGACAGAAAGGATCGGGTGCTGGGAGCTGATTCCTTTATCCCTCCAGCCCATCCCCACCTCTGAACCTCTAGTGACTAAAAGACTAGGCACGCCCATTTTACCCTCCGGCCTGGGAGTCCGGAAGTCCCTTCCTCTGGATCTCCAATACAGGGAATTAAAATGGGAGACTCCCCAACAACTGGTGGTGGTACACACCTGAAATTCCAGCCCTTGGGAGGAGCTCTGTGATTCTGAGGTCAACCTGGTCTACAAAGCAAGTTCCAGGACAGACAGGGCTGTTATGCCGAGAAAGCCTGTCTTCAAAAACAAAACAAAACACAAGAAAAAACCCAAATGAACGAATAAACAGAGAACATGGTGGCCTCACCTCCCAGAAAAACTGGTCTGTTCTAATGGAGAATATAAAGTTACCAAGCGCAAAGCATGTTTTAATCACAGGACCTGATAGACAGATGGATCTCTGAGTTTGAGACCAACCTGGTCTACAGAGGGAGGTTCAGGACAGCCAGGGATGCTCAGAGAATCCTTGTCTCGAAAAACAAAACAACAAAACAAATAACAAATAGTAATAACAAAATAAAGATATCAACACAGACTTAGGAATGTGGAGTAACACACAACCACAGGGTCTCCATCCTGAGACTTCACCAGGCAAAAATGGCTGGGGAGAACACTACAAATAGACAAACAGATAGGTATGTAAGGGATGGGAAGCAGGGAAGACTATAGCTCAGGGATGTTGTACTGAAAGGATGAAAATACAGCTTAACTCTCTAATGACCACTAAAAGTTAGAAATTTAGAAAAAGTCCATCAGCATGTGATGGGAGATGTCATTCTGTAAATATGTTTCTCATACTGGCTAATGAATAAAGCACTGTTGGCCAATAGGAAAGGAAGATAGGAGGGACTAGGAGACAAGGAGGAAAGAGGAAGTAGTAAGGAGGAGTCAACATGGAGAGATAGGAGAGAATAGGCCCCGCTCTCTGGTAAGATAAGTCCACGTGGAGATTAACAGAAATGGGTTAATAATTAAGACAGAGCTAGCCGATAAGAAACTAGTACCTGGCCAACAGCATTATATCAAATACAGATATTCGGTGTGTTAATTGGGGCTGGCGCGGTGGGGGGACAAGACCAGTGGCAGGAGGAAAAAAACCTTACTCCTTACAAGCATGTATTTAAAAATCACCCTAGCTGCATGCAAAGCTCAGGAAAAAAGAAAAACACATGAAATAGCTTGATCAAAATGACTGGTTTCTGAAGAATGTTGTTATCCACAACAACAGTCTGGGAACTGTTTGGGTCATCCTGTCCACAAAGAAAATTAATAACTAAAAGATGGGACTCATAACAAAAAGGGAAAGACAGAGAAAACAAGAGCCTCTGCCAATAGATATCGATAACTTCCTGACTGGAAAGTACATTCATTCACTCAAGGACAAAGCCACTGAGCCCTCTGGTTCTTGAGAAAGAAAACCCGCTAACCTTGAAGGTGTGCTAAATCTCTGTAACCTAGGAAACCTTACTAACCATTCCAAGTTTTGAACTGTCCCATGACCTTGCTTTTAGGCCTAGTGAAAATAACAGGCTAGCTTTGAAACTGGCCTTGTTTGCTTTGATGTAAATCCTATAAAAGCTGTCTCAATTCTGCCCTCGAGGTCCTCAGTCCTCTACCCCTGTGTGGCGTATGACTGTGGACCCCAGTGCTCTTGGAATAAAAAACTCCTCATGCTATTTGCATCAAGACCGCTTCTCCTGAGTGATTTGGGGTGTCGCCTTTCTTGAGTGGGAGCGTAAAGGTCCATGCTCTGTGGGTCTTAAAGTACTTGTTTAACATGCAGCAGGACTGGATTTAAAATCCAACACCTAATACACCAGTAGTGGCTAAGCCTGTAACCTCTGCACATACACACTGGGGGATCAGAGGCTTGAGGCTGTCCTCACATACTGAAAGCCTTTATTTTGCAGAGCAAGGATGTAAGAAGGAAAATAATTCTTATAAGCGGAATATAGAAAATCATAAAGAATGGATGTTGACATGGGAGGAAAAAAATCAGGAATTATGAGAACAAGAAAGGTTACTATGGTGATGGGGCTAGTGGTTATATGCTAGACTGATCTTGTTAAATAGGGCTAGTGACAGCCAAGAGAAAGCCAGAGTATGAAAGAAGTTTCTCACAGGTCTTGGCCCAAAAGGAAATAGGCCCCCAACCCTGGAACAAATGATTCCAGATGAACAGCCTTGTCTGGGCCACTCCTGGCCAACGGACAGTCTGGGGACTTTCCAAGTCATTCTATGGTTTATCCCTTGAATAAGAACAGGTCATACCTGGGTGATCTCTCAAACGTGAGATCATACTTTGTAACCAATCACCTTGTGCCCCATGCATGTATGCTGATTTGTGGTCTTCTCTATAAAAAGAATCTGGACCCTCTGAGGGCTGTGTAGCTTTCCCCAAGATTGCTGATACCCGAGTGCACTCATTCAATAAACACCTCTTGCTTGTTGCATCTCCTGGTTTTGGTGTTTGTGTCTTGGGGCTCTCCCACCAGCCCATCAGGATCCCAGAATTAGGGTCCAACATACACAGTGAGTTCAAGACCAGCCCCCCACCCCAAAGAAAACAGAAGGGAACAAAACAAAAAAATGAGGCTATAATTTGGGTTTCAGATAAGATGACCTTGAACTCCTGAACCTTCTGCCTCCATCTCACACATTCTAGGATATTGGCAGTGCCCTCAGATAGTCACTACGCAGTACTGGCTCAGCGGGATTTAGAGATACACCTGCCCATGCCTCAGCTGAATAAATGATTCCACCAGGGACTGCGGCCTTCTTGCTTTTGAATGGGTCTGACAATGTATCACTTTGGTCACTCAGTTTTGAGAATGCAAAGTCAGGATATAAATCAAACATCCTACTTTGAGATGGATGGAGGCAAGGGGTGGGGGAGGAAACTGTAAGGTAATGATCCCGTCTACTATCGTAACCTTATCTCTCTTATCACACCCCTGCCCACCCTACTTTGGTCCAAGGTCCTCTATCTGCCCCCAGGCCCCTTTTTCTTCCTCCCAAAAAGTATAGAATGCTAGGAATGAAATAAAAGTATTTTCAGTTTTATCATTTCTAGGAAACCGTGATAAGTGCAGTAAACTCTTATCTTCGGAACTGGTCTTGGATCATACCCTTCAATGTCTGCTCTTTGGTCACAGGCTCCTCTCAGCTACAGCCTGTGTTTCCTCTTCATTTCCTCCTGGTCTCTGCAGAAGTAGAGTTCATCCATAACTTCCTGTGGGTGCTCACGGGAAATGGTGCGAATCATGCAGAGAACTTCCCGGGCCAGCACGCAATACATCATGCCAACCAAAAGAAATCCTTGTTGTGGCATGGGATGGAAATGTGCATGTAGCTTGAAGGAGAAGCTCTATTACACTGAAAAATGGTAGGCAGGTTGACGTGTAAGATGCTCTGTGAGGAGCCCGGTGGTCAGCCCTGGGACCTGTCACCACCAGAAGTGTGGCTCCTGAAAGCTGTTGGGACCCAATTAGTGCAGGTCCTGGATGTGGAGCAGGCAATGCTTGGAGCGATTTCAGAGACAGTAGACCTTGTTGGTCCATATACATGGACTAGTCCCCAAGCAGTGTGTGCCCAGGGAACCGCTGGGGAGAACCATTTATATTTTTAAGAGGGGTGGTGGTATTGGGGAGATGGTTCATTGTTTAAGATAAATGGTTGCATGATCACTTTGGCACCACATATACTAAAACTGGAACTATGCAGAGAAGATCAGCATGGCCCTTGTGTAAAGATGACATGCAAATTCGCGAAGCATTCCGTATTTAAAAAGAAAACAAAAATAACAGTTGCTGTTGCCGAGGAGCCAACTTTGGTTCCCTGCACCTGCATGGTGGCTTGCAACCCCCTATACCTCCACTTCCAGGCAAGCTTACACCTTCTTTTGACCTCTGCAGGCACTAGGCATGTGCAGAAAATACACGCAGTTACAACATTCATACATATAAAATTTAAAAAAAAAATCTATAAAAAGCTATTCTACTTCTTTTAAATGTTTTGACCCAAAAAGGCAGCTTTTTGGCCTATAGTTATGATCCTAACACTTGAGAGGGGAAGGCAAGAGATTGAGGAGTCCAAGGCTAGGGAGTCCTATACAAGATCTTGTTACAAACAAAAGAATTTTTTTTAAAAAAACTTTTATTTTTCTCTCATACATAACATCTACACCTCAGTTTCTACTTCTTCAATTAGTCAGTGTCCTCCTACCACATCCCCTCTATATGGGGCCAACTCCTGTTCTGTTTACACTCAGAGAGAGAGAGAGAGGGGGGGGGAAGGAAGAAGAAGGAGGAGGAGGAGAAGAAGAAGAAGAAGAAAGGAAATAGTAGGTCTCCCAATGATATCACCAGAACACGGCCTAATAAGATACAGCAAGACTGGACATAAACCCTCATCCTCTATCACCCCTGGATGAGGCAGCCCTGTAGGAGGAATGGGTTCTATGCAGAGCCAAGAGGGTCAGAGACAACCCCATTCTTATTGTTGGGAGACCTGCCAAAGCTACACAGCCATAACATATATGCAGGGGTCCTAGCTCAGGCCCATACAGGGTCTGTGCACAAACAAGCAAAATGTTCTTTCTTTTTTAAAAAAAGACTTATTTATTTTATATACAGTGTTCTGCCTGCATGTATGCCTACAGGTCAGAAGGAGGCACCACGTGTATGTGGTTACTGGGAATTGAACTCAGAACCTCTGGAAGAACAACCAGTGCTCTTAAACTCTGAGCCGTCTCTCCAGCCTTTTATTTTTTTGTTTTAGACAGGGTTTTACTATGTAACCCTCTGGCCCGGGTATCAACTGCTGTTAAACTAGATTAATAGCACCATACTAGGTACAGCATTTATACCCTCATTATTTTAAGAGAGTCAGAATGAGGGGGTGATCGGGGTGGGCGTGCTGATGGTGGTGACAGAAGCCTATATTCCTAGTGCTCTGGACACAGAGGCAGGAGGATGTCTGAGTGAAGCCAGCCTGGTCCACAGAGGGCATTCCAGGTTAGCCAAAGCTACACACACAAACCTTGTCTTGAGAAAGAAAAAAAAAGTGTGCAGTTTCTGTGTTCTTTGTTTAAAACAAAACAAAACAAAACAAAAAACTGTATAACATGCATTCATGATTGCTCTATGAGAATTGTTTCTCTTCAGGCCATTGCACACAGACAAAATACAGACTATTAATTTGAATTTTTGGTCCTGCTCAATAGCCTTTACTCACCAATAAGAGCTCAGTGATTAAGAGCACTGGCTGATCTTCCAGAAGACAGGTCTCTATTCCCAGCACCCTCATCAAAGGCTTAACACTCTCTGTAACTCCAGGACATTTTCGAAGGGTATCTGAACATATGGGATACGAATAAAGTTATGTAGACAACACCTATACACATAAACCAGTGGTGGCACACACCTTTACTCCAAGCACTTGGTAGGCAGAGGCAGGTGGATCCCTGAGTCCCGAGTACAGCTTGGTCTACAAAGAATTCTAGGTCAGCCAGGTCTGTTAAACAGAAAAACCCTGTGTCTTGTTTTGAAAAACCAAAAGCCAAAAGCCAAGAAACAAAAAACAAACAAACAAAAAAAACAAAAACAAAAAAAAACCAACCAAACAAAAAACAAAAAAAAATGCCAATCTCATGTCCCCTCCCATTAACCGTGCGTCATGGGACACGTGCCTGCTCTGTGTGATCAGAGCCGGTAGTGCCAAGCGACTGCCCATCCAGTGACGAGCAAGTTGAAACCTTTCAACCTTTCAAGCTACATTTGCTAGAGTGATGGAGATAATTCTCTGCGAGAAAGTTTGACAAGGAAGAAAATGTTATTTCTTTTGAAAGGAAGAACATGGAATTCACACCAAGAGTTAGTGCTTCAGGCCAAAGACTGCAGAGTCGGTAAATTTCACCATTACACCATTAAATATAACGAGTCATCAGGAGGACAGAGGCTGGAAAAACGCCAGAACTGTCTATGGTGGAAGGAAGCATCCTAGACTTACTGTGTGATGGGGGATACTTCGCTCTCTGAGACCCACTGGATGCAAACCATTACGGGAATGTCAGTGTTCTGTCTAAAGAAGCAAACTCCATATCCTGCCTCGATATGGTGAAGTCTCTAGCAGTGAGTAGCCATGGTGAAGACCTTTCATCCCAGCATGCAAGAGTCAGAGGCTGGTGGATATCTATCTGAGTTTGAAGCCAACCTGGGCTAGAGAGCAAGTTCCCGGATATCAAAGGTACAGAGATAAACCCTGCTTCAGAAGAAAGAGAAAAGAAGAGATCTTATAGCTAATTCTTGATAGAACCCTGTTTTTTGTTTTTTGTTTTTTTTTTTGGACCCCAGTTTTCATCAGGTATTTTTTTTTTTTTTTTGCGCCGACCTTTATATATAAGATAAATAGAACATAGAATTTTAAAAGCACTTAATCTAATTTGGCTCTCCATCTGGACCAACCTAATTCTCTGTAATCATGAGATTCTGGTCAGTTTTTCAGCCTCTCAGATTGGACAACAAGGTCTGATTTCGCAGGCTGCTTTGTTGTCCTTGCCTCACAAAGATTTAACCTCCCTCTTCTTTCTCCTGACCCCTTGGCACTCAGCGTTGCTTGGGGAGCAGACTTCTACTTCAGTTAAACTTACTTTTTTAAATTATTTTTTTAATTTCTTTTTTTTGTTTGTTTTTTTGAGACAGGGTTTCTCTGTGGCTTTCGAGGCTGTCCTGGAACTAGCTCTTATAGACCAGGCTGTCTCTGCCTCCCGAGTGCTGGGATCAAAAGCGTATGCCACCAACACTTGGCTAAACTTACTTTCTTAAAGGCAGAAGTGTACTATTGAAAAAAAAAAAAAGGCTCACATTATTTGGATGAGTTTTGCCTTCATATACATCTGTGTACCACTTGCCTAAGTGCTTGATGCCCCTGAGATCTTGAGAGGATTTCGGACCATATGGGACCATATGAGTTCTTTGTAAGAGTATCAGTGTTCTAAATCATTGAGCCATCTCTCCAGCTTTTAATTTTAATTTTTTTTTTTTTTTGGAGACAGGATTTCTCTGTGTACCTTTGGCTGTCCTGAACCTCACCCTGTACACCAGGCTGGCCTCCAACTAACAGATTAATTTTAATCGTTAATATTATTTGTGTGTGTGTGTGTGTGTGTGTGTGTGTGTATGTGTGTGTGTGGTACACCATGATGTATGTGCAGAGGTCTGAGGACAACTTTGTGGAATGTTCTCTTTCCTCAGTTTAGGGAATATAATTTGGGCTTGTCCTGAAAATACTTTATCTGCTGAAACTGTTTACCAACACTGTTTCTCCCCCCTTTCCTTTTCTACATTTATGAATACATGTGTATGTGGACAGATGCATGTGACCCAGGTCTCTCCACTTCGTGTGTTCTGGACAATAAACTACAGTCAACTGCCATGAGGACAAATGCCTTTATACACTAAGCCATGTCCTCTGTCCTCTCCATTCTCCTGTTAACGAGGGTCTCATGTAGCTGAGGCCGTAATTTGGCCACAGAACAGAGAATGGTTTTACCTCATGTTTGCATGCCTCTCTTACTCAAAGGCAGAGGTTATGGCAGTGGGCCACCATGTCTCTTTCTGATAGATATTGTGTCCACATAAGGATTTGTTTGGGGTGTGTGTGTGTGTTGTAGAACACTGTGAGTGAATGTAGGACGCCACAATTACAGGATGAGGAAACCATGACTTCCACCTTGGCCTGGGTTTGAACTAATCATCCTGCCTTCAAGGGCTGGGGTTAGAGGTGTGTACCACCACACCCTGTACACCCTGCCTACTGAGAGTCTTAAAAGGGCCAGGTGTGGTCATACATACCTCTAATCTCTGCATTTGGGAGGCAGAGTTCAAGGCCAGCCTGGGTTACTTAGTGAATTTGAATTCATCCCATCCTGGGCTAACTGAGAGACTGTCTCAAAAGAAAATACAAAGGATTACTTAGCCAACATAATAGGCATACTAAAGGTCTCTTGGTAGATGGGACATTCTTTTTTTATACCTTTTTTTACTAACTACATGGGGTCATTTGATATACATTAATTTAATCTAGATGAGTCATGAGTTTTAAAATGTATCTGCTACTCTGAAACCAATGTCTTCATTTACATGATCAAAGGGTCATTAACCACTTGCGTGGTTCTTCTAGAAACTAAACTTTATCCTGCAGGGAGTGGTGGCTTTCATTCTTAAGTCTTGGCGTTCCGGAAGCTGTGGCAGCCCAACCTTAATGCTTGCATGCCTGCTTCCCAAACCTGATGACTTGAGTTCAGAGCCTGGGTTAAAAGAGAGATCTGACTCTTCCAAGTTATCTGACCTCCACACATAGGACACTTTAATTCATTGGGTACATGCTTATGGGCACGAATGCGCGCGCGTGCGCGCGCGCGCGCGCGCGCACACACACACACACACATTTTTTGTCTCCCTCTCTCTAGATGCAGAAGATGGTAAATAGAATTACCAAATGAATCAGAAATTCTACTTCTGTATATGCAGCGAAACCAATTGAAAGCTGTGGAGGCTGGTGATCATCTCATGACAAGTATGTCTAAGCCTCTCCAATTTTGTAGGACCATGTCTTCAAAGGAATCTTAAGTATTATTTACATTCAGAAGTGGATACTTTTAATACCTCTCCATTCTGACCAACTGGTTTACTTAGTTTGGAAGTATCAGAAGAAGCACAAGTAGTCAGACCTTTAGTACATGCCCACCTTGTAGTCTTAGAGTCTTAGTAATATTGCTAATTTCT